GCCGCGCGCTCATCCAGGAGCGCGGCCGCCGCCGCCTCGACCGCGCGTGCGAGCAGCGGCGCCGCACCAGCGGCGGCGAGCGCCAGCACTGCCGGGGGCTGCTGGGTGTCCCGCAGCTGCCGACTGGCGGCGCCAAATAGCGTGGGCGCCGCGTCTGGGCCGGTGACGGCTAGGTACAGCGCCTGGCAGGCAGTGCTGAGCAGTTTGAGGCGCTCGAATGGGTCTGCCACGTACGGGTTGATCGGCCCCGCTGCCGCGACCGCCGCCGCCTCCGGGCCGCCGCCCGCGCCGCCGTTGGTGTCATCCGCCGCGTCGCCGGCCGCCAGCCGCAGCGCCGCCACGGCCGCCCTCACAAACGGGCCTGCAGCCGCCGCACCCCCCTCGCTTTGTGCCCCGCCCGGCCGCAGCACCTCGGGCCGCACCGCGTTGAAGGCAACCACCGCCGCGTGCGCAGCGCGCAGCGCGTAGCCCCGAACCAAGGCGTGTCGCTCTGAGTCTGCCACGCGCGCCAGCAGGTCGTTGACCAGCTTTGACTGCATGCCAGGTGTCAGGGAGCGCACGGCGCCTTCGTTCAACATGATGGTGAGCGTTTGCAGCATCTCGACGCGCACCCAGACCTCATAAGGCACCTGGTGGAGGGGGGGTGGAGGGGAGGGTTGCTGCACAAACAAGCACACCTCTCCAGGTCGGCAGGCCCGCAGGCCCGGCAGGGCGCAGGTGAGGGGCGCGGGGCGTGTGCTTCATGCTGCCTCGCCCGTGCAGTCGCCTGAATGTCCCCGCGCGTTCTCCGCAGGCTTCACACACGGCTCACGCGGGCCGGCACGCAGCGCCCGCCCCACCTGGGAGTGCTTGTCGGGGTAGAGCATGCCGTCTGGCGCCTTCTCCACCCTGCCACCAACCACCACCTGCAGGTCTTCGCAGACGACGTCATCCGACAGCGCGCGCTCCACGAGGACCAGCTCCCCGGCCAGCTCCGCGAACCGCTTGCGGGTGTCGTCGTTGGCGGGGCGCGCGAGCGTGAGCAGCAGGGGCTCGAGGTTGTGGGGGTGCTTGGACTGGCGGATGAGCTCGCGCAGCGCTGCAGCCGGGTACTTGGGGTACGACTTCTCCGTCGCCTCGGCGGCCGGGCCGTAGATCAGGCGCTGCCTGTACAGCTGCTGCGCCCAAGCGTATTCGCGGAACTCCATCGCGGCAGGGTGTGCGCCGCTGCAACGCCCAACTGAGCGCGGCACGTTTCGCTGCTGCGCGTCGCCGCCCTGCCGCTGCTGCCTCTGCTGCGGCGCACGCCGCAGCTGTAGCCTAGAAATGAGCGCTCTGCAGTCGAAAAGTTGTTTCGCTGATCCTATACTGTGCCACCCGGCAGCGAGGCGCTTGTGCAAGATCAAGCTGCGGCGATGCAACCAACCTATGAGCCTGCAATACACATGCTAACCTAGGTGGTATAGTGATGCCAAACAGACGTTGTTCGCATTTGTCACAGCGGGTGGACGAGTCGGTTGGAACGCGGTCACCTATGAACCTACCTGACTACTGACCCCACGGTCCGTCTGGTGGGTCAAATGTTGGGTTATCAAGGCTGGACGATAGAGATAATAGTCGGCAGCGCGGTCCACCCGATCATGCTTAAGTGCGTGGTCGGCCAGTGAGACAGGCGTGGGCCCAAAGATGCAGCACGGCGGGGGGGGCGGAAAGGTGCTCGGGCCGGGTGTGCACCTGCCAGATCGAGCAGGGCCATGTTGAGGGGGAAGGCTGGTCCCGGTCTTGGCGCCCAGCACATCAAGTTGATGAGCATGTTCAGTTGAGCCTGCGCGCCTGACTTCTCAGGACCGTGCCAGGCCCGGCTGCAGTTGCCCGCACTTCCATGCAACGTTTGCCCCTCTTGAATTTTATGGCATTGCTTTATTCAACTCTGGCCGTCTTTCGTTGTTGGGCTACATCTTGCCGTGCAAACTCCTCACGCGCGCGATGCGCTTTAGGACGCACCAGCAATGCCTTACCTGCTACGCACAGGCCTGCCACAGACAGGGGATTTCAACAAGCATCAATGAACATAAGGACTTGCATTCAATATGTGAATACCGTGTGATTGACTGTTCAGAACCTCGACGCATGTTTTTTTGTATGTCTGGGCAGGATGTCATCAGTCAATTGGGTCAACATGAGACACACGCTCGTGTTGAAGACGTTCTCCAACGCAAGATGCATCAATCCCAGGTCTTTTCCTGGGGTTTTCCACCCTCGTGCTACTCTGTGCGGTGTGTCTCGGCCGATCACGAAATCAGAAGCTCCGCGAACTGCGCTTGCAGCCCTTTTGTTTTTGGTTTTCGTCGTTTGTTTGACACCCTCCACTTGTAGGTCACATGCCCACATTATAACATCGGCACCATGCAGCAGCACTCTCGGTCCATCTGTGTGCTGGGGACGCTTGTATTGGCTGCCCTTGCTGGCAGCAGCTGTGGCGCCGCACAGGATGAGACCACCACCAACCCCGCCGCATTTGCTGCCAAACAGCCGGTAGGATCCCGGTAGGGTGTGTTAGCATGGCAGCCTGGGCACAAATGGCGCTGCTCGCATGTTGCCGGCTGGCGCCGTTCAGACGCTCACCTTCCGTGCACCTTCCACGCACGCACTGCTGCCGCCCATGCGTACAGGAGGCACTGACAGGTGTCGTGCCGAGCCTGAACCTGCCAGTGGTCAACGAGCTGGGATCCTTTGCTGCCAGCGTTCAGTCCGGCGCCGTCCGCCCTGGTGACGCCAGACAAGTTGCCTTGGACGCTCCTGGCAATGACAGTGCTGTCCCACCTTCAAGCACCCTGAACGCCTCGATTCTGCCAGCTCAGCGCTTACGCCGCGTGGAAGCTGCGGTTGCGCAGTCTGCTACCCCAGCGGATGTCGCCGCCGGCGCCGACCTCATCCCAGCACTTTTGTTCTCACTCCTTGGGAGTTCGGTAATCGACGCGGCGGGCGCCACCCTAGCATCGGCCGCTCGCTCAAACATCAGTGCTGTCGCCGTGCCAACAGCGCCGACAGTGGGCCAGCTCTTCCTGGGGACCAGGTCAGAGCTGGCCGCACGGCTGGACGTCGCCCGCACGCGCCTGGACGCCATCGCTCAACAGCTCTCTGCAGGGCCGGCCAACTCAACAGCGTCGACCAATCGCTCAAATCTCGCCCGCGCACCTGCTTCCGGCGAGTCCAGCGGCACAATTAATGATGCTGTTGACGCCATCCGAAACATCTGTGCAGTGTACAACGCGTACATGTGCGCATCCCATCTCGAACACGGTTTGCGCCTGCAAGTTGGGATTGTGTTCTTCCTTTTGCCTGTCTACGCACGGAAAGTCCAAAGGTTGCAGTTGTGCAAAATGGGCGGTGTGCATGTCAGCGGGGGCCGGGCGCGGGTTGGGGCCAGGCAACCTGATGCAATGCAGCCATGATGACCAATCAAATGTGTCAGAAGCTGCAAAGATCCTGGCTGGCCCGGTGCCCGCTCCGCTCCGTCGCCGTTGTACGCGCTGACCTGCATCCTGGGAGGCTTGCCCACGGCCGGGCGCTGTTGCACCGTCCCTCTCTCCACACACCCTACCACTTTGCACACTGCGCAGGTCATCCAGTCAACCCGTGGCCGGCGCTGGTGCTACCATTGCAACGCCCGTGGGCTATCTGAATGCACTGCTGGAGGGCGCCTGCACCAGCACCCCCTCGATTAGCAGTACTGATGCGGCGGCACTGGCAGTCGTTGATCTCCCCACGGCTTTCGCTGCTTTTGGGGGGTCCGCCAGCCCCGGCACGATCACCTGCCGCCAAGGGGCGCCTTGCCCCTTGCGCGCAGGCACAGGCCGCCTTGCAGATGTCGTGAATGCCACCCTGGCAAGAAATGGCTCCACGCCTGAAGACCCTGCACAGCTGCTGCAGTCACTGGTTGCGTCCGTGCGTGGCTATGCGGGTCCAGCGGCAGCGGCGGGTCCGGCGTTAACAGTCAAGATGAGCGGCATGGGCGGCTTGGCCAATGCTGTTGGGGGCAATGCGCGGCGCCTGCTGCGATCTGCTGCCAGGCGCTTCGGGCCGTGATCATGGGATGGAGGGGATGCCGAAAAAACCCACAAAAGGGGCTGTGACCAATAAACCAGTAAACACTCTGCGTGAAACATATTAGCATTTGTGCCACCCCGCATTCATTAATTGCATGGCCTGTGGCACTGCTTTGTTGATTTAGCACACCACTTGTGCTAAATCTGAATCAGCGAGTGGCATCCGTGAATGGCGGTGGCTCGGGCAGTGCCTGAAATCAAGCCTGTTGGGTTTGATTCAGACTGCAAAGTGTATATCTGATGCGTCCAGAACAACCTGGGGCCTTTGCTGGCAAGAGTACATCCCAGGTGCCACAGAGGTGCCTCAACAGGGTCAACGCCTCGCAGGATGCGCCCTCCATGATCAACACACACCGCACCCAGCATGCCGTGGGCAGCGTGCGCATATGAGCCTCGGTATCTGCCAATCCGTTGCGTAAGTCCGCTATAAAAATCTGTTATAACACGGAGTCTCAGCCGCACCCCGCTGAAGCACACACGGAGATCATCCTGATCTGGACGCTGCCCGCGCCTCCTCCGACACACTTCACCAACCCGTGAGCCATAGATCGACCACATCAACTTTCTGGCTGGCGTAAACCTCGCAGCGGGGCCGCGGCGTGCCATCATGGCAGCGGGCGCAAGCGTCGCGCAGCAGCGGTGGGAACTGGAGAACGCCGTTGCGTCCACATCCGCCAGCGAGGCCGATGGGCTTTACAGGTATGACCTTCAGGAGCAGCAGACCATCCAACAGCAGAAGCCCTGGCAGAAAGATCCCCAGTATTTCAAGCAGTGAGTGTGGAGGATGTGAGCGGCGAGGGGCGAGTCGCGCAGTTGGCGCTCGGTCAAGCCCTGCAAGTGTGTGGTTCAACAACAATCATTTGCAGCTGCAGGTCTATGGATGATTGCACGTGTTGCAACGTGTCAATGAAGCCTGCATGCAGGCGCCACACCTACAATTCCAGGCGCAGTCCTACACGGCCGTACCATCCCCTTTTGCCCGCCAGTGTGCGCATGTCGGCTCTGGCGCTGCTCAAGATGGCAATCCATGCGCGGTCTGGCGGCAACCTGGAGGTGAGGAGAATCAAGCGTTTGGATGCGTTATCTGTGCTGCAGGAGGCCCTGCTTTGGAAGCGGAGCCTTGCAACTGAGGCGGCCGCTTCCCCTCGCTTTCTACATGTGCGCGATATGCACACGCGCGCGCACTCACGCGCGTGTGCACACATGCGCGCACACGCACACATGCGTGTGCGCGCACACGCGCACACACATATGCACGTGCGCACGCGCACAAGCACACACACATACACAAACACACGCGTACACGCATGCGATTCTTTTCCGCTGCGCTCTCCACCTTGCCAGGTGATGGGCCTCATGCAGGGGAAGGTGCAAGGTGACACGTTTGTGGTCATCGACAGCTTTGCGCTGCCAGTGGAGGGGACGGAGACCCGCGTGAACGCGCAGGTGGGCATGTGCATGGGCAGGCGCCTGCTGGTGTCATGTCGATGGGGCGGGCTGATGATTCAGGAACACAAAAGGCATCACCCTGTCCCTGGGCAAGGCGTTGAATCAGCACCTGCACAGCCCGGGTCCCCATAATCAACCTGCGCAACCCTGCATCCCCTCATTCCTCGCATCAAAGGCGGAGGCGTATGAGTACATGGTGGATTTTGTAGACAGCACCAAGGTCAGGGGGAAGGGAGGTCAAGGGACGCATGGGGGACTAACGGCATCGTCGGCAACAGCGGCCGCACCTCTGCTGCTGCGGTCAGCTCCCTTCGGAGTGGCGCTGCAAAGGGTGCAGGCAGATGGGGGCCCGTTGGCTCCACCCTTGCCTGTAGGCATTGCACTCCCTCACATGCCAAGCGCATCCACCCTTTGCGGGAGGCATGGCCCCAACATCCCTCGCTGTTCTCGTGCAGTGTGTGGGGCGCCCCGAGAACGTTGTGGGCTGGTATCACTCTCACCCTGGCTATGGCTGCTGGCTCTCAGGTGCGTGTACAACTCTCTGCTCATCTTGCTCTCCGCTCGTCTTGCTGATTCTCACCACGACCCCGCGGCCGCCATGCACGGCTACGCTGCGTGTGTCCTGCCCTGACCTCCGCGTACGTCTCACCCCGCTCGCATGATTGTCCCAGTCACGACCGGTGGTGCGCCAACACAAGCGTGTTGCAAACACCAACTCCTTCCCCTCGTCCTCGTTGACAGGCATCGACTGCTCCACTCAGATGCTCAACCAGCAGTTCCAGGAGCCCTTCCTCGCAGTGAGCCCCCGCCCCTGCTGACATGCAGCACCCCCTGCTGCCGCCGCAACACTGCAAAATCGGGGCAAGCCAACTCGCCGCTCCGTGGCTCGGCGGCTCGTTCATTGTGCAACGCGTGCCCCTGCTGCGAGCTGTAGATACTCATGCAGCACTTATTCTGCCAGCCCCACGGACCCTCCGGGAATGCACCTCGTGCTCACTGCTTTGTTTGCCCCCCCCCTCCCCTCACCTGCCGACCGCTGTCAGGTGGTGGTGGACCCGGTGCGCACCATGGCCAGCGGCAAGGTCGAGATCGGCGCCTTCAGGTGGGCGAGGTGGAAAGCCATCTATGCACGCGCACCCAAGGGCAACAGGGGCGGTGCAGCAGAGAGCAAAGGGGAGGATCTCCTGCGATTTATCTCGGGCGTGCAGTGCACGGCCATCCAAGGCTGCAATGAAATCTTGTCACCGGCTCCTGCCCTGCCTCGATCACCCCGTGAACGTCCTCTGCAGCTCACCTCATCATCGCCCCCACCCCCTTTGGCCCAATCAGGACCTACCCCGAGGGCTACAAGCCCCCTGACGAGGGGCCCAGCGAGTACCAGACCATCCCCCTTTCAAAGATTGAGGACTTCGGTGTGCACGCAAAGCAGGTGGGGGCGCTGCGGGGAGATAGGGGGTGCAAAGAGAGAGGGGAAAGGGAGATCGTGGAATTGAGGCCTAAGGCTGCAGAAATGTGCGCCAGTGTTGCCTGCATATAGACCTCTGCTTGCAGTACAATTTTGAATTTTACTGACACTCATCCGCTCACACAGCCCATGCACTCTCACACAAGCACGAATGCGCACAACCCGCATGCAAGCGTGTGCATGCGCGTGCACGCACGTTCACGCGGGCGCGTGCGCGCGCGCGCACACACACACACACACACACACACACACACACACTCACACACACAAACACAAACACACACAAACACAAACACACACAAACACACACACACACACAAATACGCACGCGTTTGTGCACGCACGCACACACACATCAACACACACACAACTCTTCTTCCACACACTGCAGTACTATTCGCTGGACATCACCTTCTTCAAGTCGTCCCTCGACGCTGCCCTGCTGGACCTGCTGTGGAACAGCTACTGGGTCAACACCCTCAGCGCGTCACCCCTCGTCGGTGGGTTGACTGCATCGGACGTGCTTTGTGGGACGATGAGAGGCTGGAGACTGGCACAGGGCAGAGCAGCTTCACCCTTAACTTAGAAAACGTCACCCAATGTGACCTGTTTGACCCCATCATGTTGTTGCGTTGCTTCCGTGTGTGTGCTGGGACGCTCGCTGGTGCAGTGGCAGCTGTCGCCTATGCCGCCCAATCACCGCCACCACTCTTCACAGGCAACCGGGAATACACAGCTGGTGGCATCAGCGACGTGGCAGAAAAGCTGGAGCAGGTGTGTGTGCGGCTGTATCTTGAGTGCCATGAGCTTGCTGGTGGTGTCTGTGTTTGTGTGCAAGTGCGAGCATGCATGCGCTGGTGTGTGTGTGTGTGTGTGTGAGTGTGTGTGTGTGTGTGTGTGTGTGTGTGTGTGTGTGCGCACACCCACGTGGGCGTGTGCGTGTGTGTGCATGCACACTCACATGCATACATGTGTTGATTTAGAAAGCCTGGATATGAGCCTTTGCTGGCATCGGTGATGGGCAAAAGGGCTCAACCCTGCACGCACGTTTTTTTGCAACAACAACACCCCCCCCCCCCCGCATCGTTCACCTTTCAAGGCTGAGTCCACCCTGTCTCAAGGGGCACGGATGGGTCGCTACGTCGGCGCGGCAGCAGCCAGTGGCAAGAAGGGCGGTGGTGGGGGTGACGAGGGGCCCCTCAACAAAATTTGCCGGGATGTGGGCAAACTAAGCGCCGAGCAGGTAAGCTGGTACTGGCATGCACCATGGTTGAAAGGGCATCAATCTGTTTAAGCGGACCCTCCCCCCTGGCGGGTTGCATGAGCAACACCAGTTGGTCCGACCAAATCGTTTCCCGTGGACCGCAGCAGCTCGTGACACCCCTTTGCTTTGAGTGCTACAACCTGTCGCCGTACCCACTCCTCTAAGACCCTTATCACCCAAACCCTGCCGTTTGATCTTCAGGTGAAGGGCCTCAGCAGCCAGCTGGTCAAGGCGTTGCTCTTCAACTGCAACCCCCTGCAACAGGCAGCAGCGGCCGCTGCACAGGCTGGAGGCGGCGATGGTGCTGGTGATGGTTCTGGCGCAGGCGCGGCAGCGGTGTCAGAGCAAGCGGGGGGCGAGGAGGCACCCATGGAGACATAAGTTGTACAGGTTCATAGGAACAGACGTGGCTAGTGTGTTGGCACAGGCCTTGGGGCAGGCCCCACGACCCTCTGGCAGTAGGACTGCGACGCATGCAGGAATGCCTTGTGGGGGACGGACTGTGGCAGCTTTGCAGCTTGCTTGTCTCGATTGCATGGGCACTTGTCTTGGGGCGAGAGTGTTGCATCCAGCTGTGCAATCGCTCACGTGAGCGGGAGCACAAGCGCCCCAAAGTGCACTGAGGGCGCTGGTGGGCGTCCAGCGTGGCGGCCACTGTCGCTGCCTAGTGAACCATCCGTACTTGTAATGTGCAAATGCATCCGTCGTACTCAGAATTCATGGCTGCGAACTGCTGGAAGGAAAAGGCTCTGATAGGTGGTGACCATGTTTGAATACAGCAGCTCACCTGCCATGTGGGCATAAGCCCGGAAAGCGTGGATCGCAGCGGCCTGGATGTGCATCGTCACACCAATGAATCAGCATTCTACAGCCGCACATGCCCCGCGGAGGTGTCGGGGCTTCCAAGGGTGCCGCTCTGAAGCGGAACCGGCGAGCCAGCAGTCAGGTTGATCGGCGCAGGGTCTTTCTGTTGCCACAGCCCTCCCCTGTCACTCCTGCACGCACACCACCACTTCCTCGCTTTTGCTCGCAAAACACAACCACGCACATCAGAGATGGCTCTCCGCATGCAGCAGAAGGCCACCGTGGCCCGTGCCGCCCCCAGTGAGATCCGGGACCTTCTTAGCGTGCAACCTGCCTCATTGGGATTATGGTGATTTCCTGCTGACCCCCGCGTGGCCCTGCTGTCGTTATCTGCAGGCGTGCGCTGCTCGGTGGCGCGCCCCAGGCTCAGCGTGCGCGCCAGGTGCGGAATTGGAAGGCGCAGTTTTTCGATGCGTCTCGTGCAGGCAGACGCGGTTTTCGGGCCACTGTGCTGGGCTTCGTCCCGGCAAAGCTAAACCACAGCGGGTCATCTCGGGCGGGCTCCGTGCTGCGCACTCCATGGCCGTCCCCATATGCGCGGCAGACACTCTCGTTGGACCTGTCAGCAGAAGAGGGAACGCACAGGGCAGCAGCGGACGGTCCAGGCGCACGCAGGGGCGCGCGCTGGACCTGCGCAGCTGCAGTGCGGACGACCCTCGGGTGAGGGTGAAGTTTGATCGGAGCTCGCGAGCCTACACGAAGCGGGCCGACCTAAATCACCGCTGCACTTGCCCATGTACGCTCTCATCGCCACCACAGCGCCCAGAAGCAGGAGCGCGCTGTGGCCGCCGTGACCGCGGGCGTGATCAGCGGCGTGGGCGCCATGATGGCCTCCCCCCTGGTCGCTGAGGCCGCCGTGACCCCCTCCCTCAAGTGAGTTGATTATGCATGGTGGGACAGGGAATGTGGGCGTGCAGCTGTCAGAGGGTTGCAGAGCGCGCCTTTCGAGGCGCCCGGCTGGCACTGTTCTTCTTCGAGATTGGCTCTTCGCACCGCGGTCAACCCCCTTGCCCGCGGGCGTACGATTCAAGCTTGGTGTGCCCTAATCGCACAACCGCCGTGCCGCTCCGCCCTGTCTCATTTGATATCAACCAGGAACTTCCTCTACTCGCTGATTGCGGGCGGCGTGGTCCTGGGCGGCATCGCCGTTGCCATCACCGCGGTGTCCACCTTCGACCCCGTGAAGCGCGGTTGAATCCCCGCAACAGCTGCGGTGTGAGTGTTGTGCTCCCCTGGAGCGAGGGCCTTGATTAATAGCTGCAGCAGCGTATGTGTTGAGGGACTCAGCCGAGGCGCGCCTGCCCCGCGCGCGCCACCGGCAGAAGTGTGCTTCGCCGGCGCGTCGGCGACAGCAGCACCCCGTTCCGGTGTGAGTGGCGTGTGCCGCATTGCCCTGCCGGGTGCTGATGGGAAGCGTGCAGGACGTCAGAACGCGCCGGGCGCTCTCCCCTTTTTGATGCGGGTTTCTGTGCGATGCTTGGACTGTGTGTAACGGTTCGTTCGCATGGCGGCTTTGGCCCTGCGGCCTGTTGTCAACGGCGCTCCTGGAAGCTGGCATAGCTTGGAGGAAAACAGAGTGGCTGGGGGAATGCGCCTTGACATGGCAAACGAGGGCTCGCGCCCAAGGCTCAGTAAACGCAGGCGTACCCGCACGAGTGGAGCCTGTACCCGCATGCACGCGTTTTGAAATGCACGCATTTTGAAATGCGCACAAACGCAATGGCCGCTTGCTCGTACCATAATTGTGCCGCAATGCAGGAGGTGCGCAGGGTGTGCAGCCGACAGCACAGGCTCTGGTACGTCCCCAGCACACTCTGCAATGCTAGGTGCAAGTCGCAGCTGCAAGACTGTTTACCTTTACAAAAACACGCATGTATGTACCGTAGCTTCGACATCCTGTCGCAAAATCGTACTGAAGACCAGACATGGGAAGAGCTTGACTTTTCTGAACGCATCGCGCGGCCTATTGAGCGTAATGCAATAAGATTAAATGGTGTATACTCCGATGCAGTGCCGCAGCCTGGGAGTAGATGACACCTGAAACCGTGCAGCCCAGCGAAGCGCAGGATCGAGTCGAAGGTTTAGGAGGCATACAAAACCAAAACGCAGCTCAGCGAGCCGCAGCACCCGGCTCACATGCAATCCATGGAACCGGCGACAGGCGAAAGCAGCGGCGATGCAGATTTCGCAGGTGTTGGCGGTGCCTGGCCGGAGGGTGCGCCAGGCACGTCGCCGCTTGAAGAACAAGGGCCGGTCAGGAGCGACAGTGCTTCACCAGCACAGAGGTTTCCAGTGGAGTTGATCGCTGAGGAGCGTTCGGGGTCCTCTTTCCTCGCGCCGCGCCGCACAGGGAGCCTGCGCAACGGCCAGCGCCGCAGCCGTGTATCTGAAGCAACGGCAGCTGCGCCCGCAGGCGGCGCGTCTCCTTGCAACGGTGCTTCGCGGAGCAGCAGCCGGGCCAGCATAGCCAGCGGCGGCGGCAGCAGCGGCTGCAGCGGTGGTGGGCATGGTGCGACACCTGTGAGCCCAGCCCTTGAAGCACAGCCTTCCGGGCATGATTTCGTGTTGAATGCAGGCACCCCGACAGCAGCCGCAGGAACACCAGCTTGTGAGAAGGCTCTGGGCAACGTCCAGCCTGCCACGAGCAATGAGGGGCGCACAGCAGAGGCGTTGGCGGCCGCTGCTCCCGCCTCGTCGGCAGCGGGGGAGGCCGGGTCACCAGACGGGCAGCCACATGCAGTGGGTGTTGGTGCCTCAGGGGCAGCGGCAGCGGCTGCGAACGCCAGCACCACAGCAATCCCAAACTTGGCGCCCGTCCGCACGCAGCCGCCCGCCGACCCCGACACGCCGCGCCGGCCGCGCGCCGTCCGCCAAGCCAGCGGCGCGCTCGCGTCGCCGCCGCTCGCCGCGGGCGGCGCGCTGACAGCGGCGGATTTTGACGGGGACCTCTGCAGCCCCATGTGGCGCCGCCACGGCGCACTGCCGCCAGGCGAGTGTGGCGGCGCCGGCGCCAGCCGTCCTGAGGTTGGCAGCACGGGCGGCAGCCGCGGCGGCGATGGCCTGACGTGCTTCACGGTGCACCGCTGCTCCGCGCCGCTGGAGCCGTCCCCATGGGTGGTCAGCCCGGTGGTGCGCCTGCACCTCGTGAGTGCAGCCACAGGGGAGTACCTGCGGCTGGCAGCGCCCGCGGCCCCCGCGCCGCCTGGAGGGGCTGTGCGGGACAGCTGCGGTGAGGGCAGCCCGGGCACCGGTGGCGGCATCGGCGGCGGCGGCGGTGGCGGGGGCGGCGCGGCAGCGAAGGGGCTGGCGCTGGATGCAGAGGCACAGGCGCAAGTGAGTAAAAAGCTGGCTTTGGATGAGCAGCAGCAGGAGTGGCGTTGCGACGGCCGCAGCAGTGGCAGGCGCACGCGCATACCGGCGGCTGCGTATCTGGGCTCCAGAGGTGCGGCGTGCAAAGCGGGTTCACACCCGACGGCGCTCACTCTGCCACCCTTGGCCTCTGTCACGGCTCTCTCTGACGATGGCGCACGGCTGGTCGCACCCATGCCCAGGTATTGGAGTACCCCGGGCGCCCGGCGCTGGCGACGACAGGCAACAACACCGCCGCCCCCGCGCCGGCCCTTCTCTCTTACCTGCCGCCACTGCAAACCCGCCCCTGCGATCTCGTGGCGCCGCCCCCCTCGCCGCCACCACCGCCGCCGTCGCCGCTCCGCAGCCCTTCGCATAGCACCAGCGGTGAGGCCGGTTGCAGCTGCGGCGAGGGCGAGGCGGCGGCCGCCGCGCCTGTGTGGGACGAGGATCTCGAATTGGATGTGGACGCCCAAGTCTTGGCCCAAGGGGACGCCCTGCTGCTGGTAGAGGTCTTGCAGCTTCCCTCCAGCTTCCGCGGCTACAGGCAGCTGCCGCAAAATTTCAAGGCGGCCGGCGGCGGCGGGGGCGGCGCGCTCGGCATGGGGGTGGCGTGGGGGTTCCTGCGGCTGAGGGCGCTGGGGCCGGCCGAGGTTGGGCGGGAAGGGCGGCGGCTGGCGCTGCAGCTGTATCGCTACCACACGCCAGGTAGGATGTTTTGAGGTTCAGGGCTGCCGGCAGCTGCAGGGGCGCATCTTGCAGGTCGCTGCTCGAGGGGCGTGCCTGCGCAGTTTGCTGTCCGCTGCTTGCTTTGCGTGCAAGATCAGCCTGTCAAGCACCGTGAGTTGGAGCGCAACAGCTTTCCTCAGCCCGCGGCTTCCTGATTCCCTCGTGCTGCCCCGCCCGCCGGGTGCTGCCGGCGCCAATCCAGGTGCGCTCGCCGCGCCTGCGCCGTACCCCGACACGCCCGCCAAGGCGGCGTACGTATCCTGGCGCGCCACACTCGGCAACGCACCGGCCGCCGCCGCGGCGGCCGCCGCCGCTGGCACGCCACCAGATGCGCCGGGCGGCGCGGGAGCCGCGGCTCCGCTGGCAGCGGCCGTGCTGGCGGCGCGGGGAGACGCGGAGAAGTACCCGGCTGCGCTGATCTTGACTCTCCTGTCCCGGCCGCGGCCGGCGCCGATGGTGGTCGTGACGAACGCGGCGGCGGGTGTGCAGCCGGTGCTGCCGGCCGGCTATGGAAGTGGCTTCGAGATTGGTGAGCGGGGGGGGGGCCTCCTTGCCATGCGCGCGCTTGCAACGCTGCCTGTGAGCTCAGCGGCTACTGTAAGCTGTGCTGAGCTGGCGTGTCACCTGCCCCACAACATCACCCGTTAAGATACCCCGCTTCGGCCCTCCTCACCCCTCCCCAAGGGCGTCTCCCGCTTGGCCTGCTGCGCCTCCAGCGCCACGCCTCTCAATCTGCCGGCGGAGCGGACGGCGCGTGCAGCGCGGGCTCGGCCGCAGCCGCGGCCGCGCTGGAGGCGGCGCTGCACCGCCCCTTCACCGTGCCCTGCCAGCTGCCCAATGCGCCTGCGGCGCGCCCGCGCGGCACAGCAGGCGGCTGTGCGTGCGTCTCGTATTCGAGAGACGGCCGGTGGCTGGCGGCGGCGTGCGGCAATGCAGAGGGTGCCACTATGGTGGGTCTGGCGTGCCCTACCCGCCTGCCTGAAGGTTGCAAAGCATGCGGTCATGTTGCCTTTGCAGTGGTGTATTGATGGATGATGGCGCACAGCAGATCTGCTGTAACCCAAAATTTTTATCAATACCTCCGCCAAGGTTTTTCACAACAATGCTCCATGCAAATTGATGGCGTGAGCTTTTCGCACGCGCTCCCCTTGCCCTCACACTACCCTCTAGCAAGCACACCCACACAGACACAAGCGCGTGCACGCGCGCGTGCGCACGCACGCACGCGCACACACACACACACACACACACACACACACACACACACACACACACACACACACACACACAAGAAAGCGTGCGTGCGTGCACGCTCCCCCTCCTTGCCTTCAAGCAGGTGGTCCTGTATCACGGCCTGACAGGCCGGCTGACAACTGTCCTGGGGTCACATGATGGCCTGGTGTACAGCATGGCATGGGCACCTGACGACTCCGCACTAGTCACCGCCAGCGGTGACATGACTGCCAAGGTCTGGCGGTTGCCACCCTTGGGGCTGTCCGGCATCTTTCATTGTGAGGGTGCCGTCGCTGCCTCCACCGGCATTTTCCTTAGCACTGCTGCCCTGGGTGCAGGCAACAGCAGCGGCCTTTTAGCTACTTGCAGCCTCGGCAGCCCCACTGGCGGCGCAGGCAGCCTCGTGAGCACTTGCCCCCTCGGCAGCGCCAGCGGAGCCCGTGAGTCTCCCGCATCGCCAGAGGCTCCGGGCGCCGCTGCCGCGTCTACGCTGCAGCACGCGTGCTTTGTGTATGCCGCCGAGTTCTGCCCCCTGGCAGGCCTGGGGGCCGACGTGGTGGCCACCGCCGGCTTCGACGGCGCTGTTAGGCTATGGGACGCCCAGAGAGGGCTGTTGCTGTTTGCCACACAGGTGACTGCTCATTGAACCCAATGAGAAAGAAGTCTGCGAGGCTCGCCCTCGCCGGGCGGGCGCGTGCAGGCACCTGGCTGGCAGGATTTGGGCTTCTGAGGCTGTCGCCAGTTTTGCTCCCAGTCCCAAAGTTGATGCCTTCTCCAAGCATGCTCGCCCCTGACCTCGCCCACCACTCTCTTGTTTGGCACCCGTGCCGTGCGGGTGGTCGCAGCCGCTGGCAGCGCGCGTGGAGGCGCTGGCGTTTGACTCCCTTGGGTCACGCCTCTACGCCGGCGACGCCGCAGGACTGGTGATCAGCCCGGACGGCCTGCCGGCCCGCGCCCTGCGTACATCTGCGCCTGCGCACACATGTGACTGCCGAAAAACGCCTGTCACCCGACCGGGTGCTTTTATGAAGATGACAGGCCCAGGGCGCCGGAAAAGAAACTTGTGCTGGCTCATCATATGTGCAGACTGCGCCGAGCTGCCAACCATCCCCTGCACATCCATCATCCCAATGCAGGTGCATGAGATCGCGGTGGACCTGCGGGGAAGCTGCCCCGAGCCCCTGAAGAAGCTGCGCGCGTGCGCACACCTGGCGGGCTCCCCCATCGCCCAGCTGGCGCCCCACCCGGGTGGCCGCCACCTCGTTGCGCTGAGCAGGTCTGGCAACCTGGCGTCCCTTGACCTCAAGCTCCTGATCTTGAATCGTCGTTTTGGAAGCGTGAGGGCGGGCACAGGGCCCCTCAAGGCGGCCATCAGCCCAGGTGCGCCCATGTCCAGTCGTTGGGCAATTGCATGCGCCATGCTGCGCGGCACCGACACCAGAGGGAAGGCGTACAAAATGCCTTGTTACGTGCGGCAACAGTTCACAGTGTTTCGGCAGCTCCTCTCACCACCTATTTCCCCCTGGTCAACCTCTAGCATGTCACTCCTGCGATCGCTCACGCAACAATCAGACGGCCGGTATCTGCTTTGCGGCTCGGAGGACGGCACGGTCACCTGCTGGCTGTTTGAGAGCGGCGCGTCTGCGCGGCTGCCAAACCTTGAGCTGGGCGGCGCGCCCGTGACGGCCCTGGATTGGAGCAGGTGGGCACGCAGCAACAGCGACGCCAGCTCATGCAGCAGCGCAGCGCGCACCTGCGCTCTGCGGTACAAAGCCCCTGTCCCTTGAACCCCAATATTCGAACCCTAAACCAAGGGGTTGTGCGGGCACGTCTCCCCAGCAGTCTATTAGCAAGCCTCAATCTCACGAGCAAAGTTGCAAGCACACAATGACACATTACACACCATACCACACGCTGAACCGACCAGGTCTTTCCATGCAGTTGCAGCCTGCTCCCTGAGCTCCTACACGCCTGTCACCGTCTCTTGCTTCGACCCACGCCTGCCGCCCGTCCGGCCCCGCCTGCGCGGCGGCGCACCGGAGACTGCCAACCGCGGCGACGCAAAGACGCAGGACCGTGCCGGCGGCGCCGCGGGCGGCGGCGCGGCGCGCGGGCGCGTGCCGCTGCCGGAGCGGCTGACGCCGGAGCATGTGCACGCGCTGCTGCGAGAGCTGCGGGACAGTGCGAGGCGGCGGGGCCTTTACAAGGGGCCGGACGATCCAGACGGCGACCATCTGGTGGTGCCTGCTGGCTGCGAGGGCCGCGAGCCCGCCGCGGGCCCAGGCGGGGACGCGGGCGTGAGCGCAGGCGCAGCGGGGACAGGCGCCGGCGGCCCGGGCGGCACCAACCGGCGGCGCTACGCCGGGGCGGCGGGCCGGGCCGCCGCGGGGGCGCTGGGCGGCGGGCGTGGCCTGCCCGGCGAGCGTCCGGTCGCCAACTCGCTCGCCACACGGCGGGCCGCTCCGGCGGCTAAAGCTCCGGCTGGCCCATGCTTGCCAGAGCCAGTGGCGGTGGCTGACGCGGGGTGACATGACCGCCGCGTGATTGCGGCCGAGTGGACCATGCAGCGGCATTTTCCTGTGTCTCGCGCACTCCCTGAGGTCGCTTGAAGCGAGCGCAGCAGCACAGCATTTTTGGGCGCTGCAAATGCGCCACATCTGATCGACCATCACGCCAAAGGTCCTGTACAGCGGCCCCGCTTATGCGCGGCAGCCACGCAGCAGCAACGGCACCGAGAGCTGCACTGTAAAACCCCCCCTGGTGTGATGAACGAGCCCATGGTGTGTCACGTGCCACAGCTGCTGTGCAAACACAAACAAGCAAGAACACTGGACTGCACAGCGTTACACAAGGGGACAGCGCACACAAGGCACATACGAATGAAACAGGGAAATAGACATGTAGTTGGGTTTGTTTTGGCAGTGCTTGAGTTATTGGCTGTTGACAATCAAAGCAAAGGGACCTATCGCGTCAGATCTCTGCAAAGCGCTCGTACTTGTTGCGTGCTATGTGCCGCCGCACCACCACCACGCAACAAGCGACCAGCCCGACGGCAGCCACTGACCCCAGCACGGCGCCGACGATGACGCCGACGCTGGCGCGCTCCGCGATCCCCTTGGCACGGGCCGAGGTTGCGCTGGAGATCTTTATCCTTTCGGAACCAGTGATGTCATCTTCTGTCAGAGTTGTCACCAGGCCAGCCCCATTCTTGTCGACGGCCTTGCCCCTGGCAGCGGCGTCCGAGGCGTCGGTGGCGTTCGCCCCCAGGGTCGCAAGGACAGCAGCGGCTGCCGCGGTTCTGTTTGCACGGATGGGGTCGGTCGCGTTGGCGGCAGCTGCAGCGCCAGGTACCATAGACGTGGCATTCGCTGCGACTGCCGTGGTGTTGCCAGTGATCGCGATGGCCTCAGTGGGGGTCGCGTCCACGTCATTTGCCGAAGCGTCGCCAGCCGCGATTGCATCCGGCACCTCGCCCCTGTCATCAATCGGCAGGAGGCCCTCCGAGGTCGCTGCGGTTGTGGACACGGGGGTCACCGTGGTGTCCGAGGCGGCCGGGACGCCGCTGTCGGTGGCTGCGGCTGCGGTGCCGTCGGCTCTGGGTGTGCTGCTAGCATCGGCGGCTGTGGCGGCAGCAGGCACCGAAACAGCGGTGCGCGAGGGAGCCGTGGTGGCGCCAACAGCAGTGGTGCCGCTCGCAGGCGCAGCAGCGTTGCTGACGCCATTCGTGCTGCCACCCGCAATGGCAGCGGCAGGGGCCGCATCCAGGGCCGCGGGCGCCACCGCTGGCGCCGAGCTCGTGCCGGCGGCGCCGGGCGCAGCAGCGGCGGGTGGCCCGGTCGCTGCGGCGGCGTTGGCGGCTGGAGTGGCCCCCTGAATCCTGGCCAGCTGCTGACCAAGGTCTGCCGGGGTCAGCATGCCAGCTGTGTTCTGCAGGAGGCTCCTGCAAAGATGCAAGCAAGGACGAAGAGTAGCAGGGTGGGTGGGTGCTTACTTGTGATTGTGTTGGCAGAGTGACAGCCAGCAACAGTTGCGGCATGGCCACCAACATGTATAACTATTAAGTAAAGTCAAGATCAAGATGTGCATGCAACATCACACTGCAAACGCCTCCTCCTGATAGGCACATGCTGCGATGCAAAGAGCAGCTGCCGGCATGCCGCTCCACCTGCTGGGGCCATCACTGCCATGCAGGAACTGCACGCCAGGCCCTAGCCTCGCAGCCTGAGCCACTGCGACTGTGCATGAAAAATAATGATGTCATGTCAGGATAGTGTATTGAAGAGAGGTGACAAAGATGTGCAGAGTGGTACCGTTCGTACGCAGGCGCCTCACATACAGCACGAGCAGTCTCTCCAGCAGTCCTTGTGCGCGCTAGGCGCACTGTATGGGTGAGCGGCCGTCCCCGGTGCACGGCCGCAACAGCAACAGGAATTGTACAATTTATTATCATTCACTGACCGCATCACGGTAACCCGCGAGCTGCTGTACTCGCCTGCAGCGCAGATGACGAGCACCGCCAGGTGTCTTGAGCATCCCATGGTCGACCAAAAATACACGTATGTAAAATAACACCAACTGATACTAATCCTAATGAGCCCGAGCGAGCAAACCTGTCGGGAAGCGCTGCAAGAGGATGCAACGGATGCTGCGCTATTAGCGTCAAGTAACAGAGGATTTCAACCAAAATAATTGTCACTTTGAATGCCGTCTTGCGCCAAAAGCCAAAGGCCGTGCATGTCGGACGCTCACGCAGGTCACTTGCTTCACTCAAGCACCGCAGTGCAAGCAGAGGGGAGGAGCTGCTGCAGAGAGTCAAGCGCTGTGCGCGCTCAAATCCAGGATTATCTGAAACCTCTTGATTCGCAGATACCATAGCACAGGGAAGCCGCTTGGAATGCAAATGACAGCCTTTGACCGCTCACAGCAGGTGACGTTAGTAGCTGTGCTGTCGCCCAAGTGCCGTCGCCTCCTCACAGAAGCGGCCCCGCAATGCCCGCGAGGGGAGACAGATCAGAAGCACGAGTCCCCTGGCGCAGCGCGGCTGCCCAGCACAGCCGCTGTCTGAGTGTGCTGGAGCAGTGGTGGTGCAGTGGCTCCCCCCCGCCCAATCAGTCTCCCCTTCTTTTAATTGTTGCCCAATGCGGGCGGGGGGGATCACAGTGCCAAGGCACTACCCAGAAAATCACACAGCGGTACTGTGATGAGTAGCAACACAAAAGCGTCCCTGCACAGATGGCTGCCTGCCTCCTGCCTGCCAGCCGTGTCTGGCGGTGCTCCTGCAGCTGCCAACTGACATTACTTGGAGCTCCACTGCTACTCCGAACTGCTGAACGTGCATTCATGTAAATGCCTGTTGATGAAAAAACTGACCGGTGTGGCTTTGCCGTGTTCGTTCGAGTCCATGGGGCAGCAGTGCCCGGTGCACCTCATGACAGAGCATTGCTGGCAAATTGGCTGCTGCTGGGCATCGCGCTACTGTATTACCAAGTGAGGCACCTGACGCCGCACGAAGCCCTGTGACATGGGCGTTTGCAACCTGAAAAAGGATTACTATGGCGTTGCCCTGCCCCTTCCAGCAGGTGTGTAGCTACGCGAAGGGGCTCGGCGATGTAAAAGTGAGGATGAGGTGACATACAACACTGTGGGAAGTTGTGCATGAGAGCCCAGCAAGCGCATGTCGAGTGAGCTTTTGCATTGTGGGATAGTGCGTGAGGACGGCGCGGCCAAAAATGACACCTGGACGGGCTGTACCATCGCACACCACCAGGCGGGGCAATTGTGTAGGCGAGTTGCGTGCCAACAGCAACATGCCACGCCTCTTGCACTGCATAGAAAGAAAGCAGCGGGCGCTCGCGCCTTTTCAGGGCAGCGGAGAGGAGGAATGACAGTTGGGCCGTAACACGGCACCTGCAGAGTTTTTGCTCGGCGGCCGGCTGCTCTTTAAAGGGCGCACGAGCCATCCGTTTGGGTTTTGATAAAGCGCCACGGGGCGCCACGCCTCGAGCGCTGGCAGGGGCAACTGCTCATCACAGGACTGCCGCGAGCGCCGCCACGGCCACAACTGCCGCCAGCGCCCTGGCGGCGCCAACGCGGGGTGCGGCGGCGCTCTCAGCGGGCCGCTTCTTTGGGGTGCCGCCCGTGAGCGTGACGGGCGCATCCACCACAACGCCGCTGGGCGCGGCCGGCAGTGTCAGGTTGAGGCCGCCGTTGCCAGATGCAGCCGGGGCCGTGGCAGACACCACCTCGGGCCTGCAGGTGGTAGCGTAGGGCATTGATTGTTGCTGATTTAATTGTGATGGTGTGTAGCGCCGGCCATGGCATGTGCAGTAGGAAAGGAAGCACGTGGGATATCAGGCCCAGGTTGGCCGGGCTTTTGGGCGGGGAGGGGGTTGATCTTGGCAGCAGGGGCCCCTGGAGGTATGTCACCCACCCAGCGATTGGCGGCGTGACCTCGATGATAGTGCCAGGAGAGGTGGAGGCCTGCATTTCATATCGTGGAGGCGTGAGGCATTGCAGTGAGCTGAAAAGGGTGTGTGTGAAGCCGATCGGTCAATGGCAGTCTGGGGAGTGCGCTGACAAGTGCACACTGGGTGGCTCAAACTGTGCAGACAGCAGACTCGACAACCTTGGGTCGAGCGGAGGCCAGGGCGCCTGCGGCGGGGCTAGCCACTGGCAGGCTAGCCTCGACCGGGGCCTCCACAAAATCGGGCGTCTGAGAGGCAGCCTTGGGCACCTCAGCGTCAGTGGCGGCGGCCGCCGCAGCAGGAGCGGCCTGTGTGACAGGGAAGTCAAAAAAAGGGTGTCAATATTGTCTTGAGCAGGACGGCCTAGCTTAACAACAGGATGCAGTGTTTGTCATACAGCACAACAGTGAGGATACGTTCTTTGGCAAGCCGGCGAGCCAGCGGTTGTGGCGATGAACAGGGCAAAGTGGCGAAGGTCCAGTGGGCACGTGTGCATCCAACCAACCAACCTTGGGCACGGCCGGGGCAGGCTTTGCGGCGCCAGTGGCGGCAGGCTTGGCAGCGGCCGCTGGTGCGGTGGGGGCGGGCTCAACAGCGGCAGCAGCCGCCGGCGCCGTGGCTACAGGAGCTGTGTCAAGGCGGGGGGGGGATGCGACAATGGTGTGAACGTGTTTGTTCCGATGGACTGTTCGAGTCGCCCAGAGCCGATCAATTGTGATGTTCAAACAAACTGTTTGCCAGCCTGTTCACCAGCTCAGCATCACCCACCTGGCACCACTGGCTCCACTGGGGCCTCATCAACAGGTGCCTCCACGGGGGCCGGAGCCAGCGCTGGCGCCGCCACAGCCGCAGGCACAGCGGCCTTGACAGGGGCAGGCGCAACCGCGGCCTTTGCCGCAGGAGCAGGCACAGGCTGCGGCTCGGCCGCAGCGACGACCGCAGGGGCGGCCGCGGGCTTGGGGGCAGGCGCGGGGACGGGCGCAGCCTTGAAGTGAGGTCAAGGGGAGGTTGCGATAAGGGTCCAGAGTTTGGCACTGGCGCGTAGGCAGTGGCTGCCACCACGGGCTTTCGAACAGCAGCTGCGGCGCCGGGTGTGGCCGCTGCCACAGGGACATGCGCCAGTGCGTCGGGCGCAAACGCCACAAGGGCGGCCTCGGCCGACGCGGGCAGAGCAGGCAAGGCAGGGGGGTGCAACATGCGCGTACAGGGTGTAAGCCCTCAACTAGCATGCGTCTATGTTGCATGCCCTGGGGACAGTGTGACTCCAATGAGAGGCAAGGGTCGTGACCCTCGCAGCCCTTTCAAGCGCGTCCCTGGGGTTCCACGCCTTGCCTGCAGCCCCAGCACGCAAAAGGCATCGTCCTCTGTGAATGTGCCGCGCCGCAGGTCCCCACCTTGGCAGCAGGAGCCGGCACCACGTCATCAGCCACGACGGGAGCGGGGACCACGTCTGCCGCCGGAGCGAGGCCCGCCTCTGCCAGGGGGGTTGCCGCCGAGGCCGCGGCCGGTGCTGTCTTGGCAGTGGCCGCCGTCTTGGTCACGGCCACAGGAGCCGCGTCTGCCGCCGCTGCGGGGCCCACCTCCACCAGCGAGGTTGCCTCTGCTCCCGTGGCTGGTGCTGCTGTGGCAGGGGCGCGTTGACGGGGGGTGGGCGCGTGGCTAATAGAGATGACAGGCTCTTCTTGCTGATGAATACACACCTTGTACCTCCCTTCGTGCACTGAGGGCCGCTTGAACAAACAGAAGGCTCAACGCCGGCCTGGGTGCCGGAGCGTGCCCACTAGTGCAGCCGCACGCCGGCAGCCTCGTGGCCCCCTTGACGTCTGTGCATCAGCAGGGTGCATTTGCCATGATCGCCCCCACCATCCTCAAAGCCACACTTGCCTGCACCATCAGGAAGAGCGAGCACGGCAGGTCCGGCCTCCAGCACCGGCGCGCTGGTCAGCGCCGCACCAGCAGCAGGCGCTGCTGTCTTCGGAGCCTGGGCCAATACGCCTGTGGCCAGAGGGGATCCCGGTCAGTTGCTTCATCGTTTGATTCATCACATACGATTTTTTAGCGTGGTTTGCGCCCTCTAACGCACAAGCGGGGGCCCAGGATGGCCGGCCGACCGCGCAGGATACGTCGTCACTCCGCGTGTGGCAGGCACGCACGGGTGCGCCGGTCTGACGCGAAGCCAAAACCTTCCTGGCACGACTTCTTTTCTTTCTCACCAGTGCCCAGGGCGAGCAGCACCAGCGCGACCGAGATGAGGCGCGTCATTTTCTAGGATGGCCCCTTGCTGATCCCAAAGTTAAAAACAGAGAACACAGCGCTTACCGAACTCAGTGCACACCATTGGTTCTGTCGCTGCTGTCCCGGCGTGTGTGACCTGACAGGCACGCAGGTTACTCAGTGACCTGGCCTGGACGGCTCTGCAGAACAGACCCTGCACGATTGTATGCACAGTGTTGTCTGCACTGTTGCCCTCAGTATCATACGGAGGCCGATGTGATTGAATCCGGGAACTAATATGGGCCATGGCAAATGCGACAAGCCGTAATCAGCAGCCCGCACAGGCCTGCGTGCAGGCAGCAACCAAGGGGCACTGGCATGGGCACTGATCAGCGACTGAGACCTTACGAGACCCAATGCACTGCGCAAGCATGCCTTTGTATGTGTCGATGGATTGTTTCCATGACAGGGCGGTAACGCAACGATCCGGCCTGGCCCAAGGCCGTTGGGTTCCTGCCAGGGCCCGGCGGACGTCGACTGTGTATGTTGCGTGCACTCCATGCAATTAGAACAGCCAGCTGCATGTTGCAGAAGCTCATGTGCATAATCCTGACTCTTGCGTCAGTGTTTTCCCACAATCTGATTGTCGTACAGTACAGACGCTGGTATCGTGAGCTGCAAACACAGTTACAGGCATGTATGCCGAGGCAGCTTCTGTCGCTGCAGTCCTCTGACGACAATCGTTGTGAGTACATCAAATATGCAATAGGCAGAGGTCACGTCAGAGCAGAGGGAAGCGCTTGAAGGTCTGCCTGGTCGTGCATTGGGGTCACAAGCGCACGCTGATTGGGTTTCGTGCTGCTGGGTCGCAGCGGCTGTAAACACACAAGATTAATAAAGTGCACGGAATCGTTAACTTCCGCCAGTAAACATGTCAACAGTCAAAACCCCATCATGCAAAAATGGTTATGCGCGCACCCGCGTTGCTGACGACGGTCGCACCATCCACCGCGTAATGCGGCGCCCACACCGCATGGTTCACGCTCCATATTCGCCCGCTGGTCGGGTGGATGTCAATGCCCGCATAATCGCCAAACCGCTGGCTAGACTGGGTTATGGGGCCATACAACGGGTCCTGCTGGAAGGCCACGTTGACGGTCGTGGCTTTTGTGGCTGAATTGATCAGCGTGAATCCAACACCTGCGGTGAGGCGTGCAGATGCAGTGGTGGGGGGGGGGGGGTTGGTGAAGGGGAAAGCAAGCAGTCAGTCAATGCATCAAGAAAGTAAAAACTCGCATGTGAAAGGTGAAGAAGGGGGAGCCTGCGGCATGGACCAAGACACACCCTCGTCGCCCCCCTTTCCCTCACCTGCATAGGCCGGCACATCAGCAAAGCGCACCCCTGGGACAGCGGGCATGTTTGCTGACGAGCTGTATGTGTAGGTGACCAGCATGGTGCCGCCCCTGACCGCCACCTGGGGGTATGCCAGGCCAAGGGGCGCATCTGCTTCGCTAGCTGCTGACCCGTACGATATGACGCCAGACTTTACCACCGTCGCCAGCAGTGTCACTGTGTTGCGCACATTCCAGTCCGCTCTGAAGCGGCAGTCAAAGTTGATTGACCACATGGCGTACCGCGGGTCATAGTACGCTTGAGACATGTATACATCACGCCACTGGCCGGCGGGGTCGCCGCTGACAATGGCGCCGGCCGCCTGCCACGTGCCTGTCGCCTTGGCCTTTGACGCTGCGACCACGGCCGCCAGCGCGGCCGTGACCTGGTTGGGGCGGACGCGCGCCGCTGCAGCTTCACTAGGCGGCGGCTTGACGACGGACGCGCCGGCGGGCGCCTGCGTGCGGACTGTGTAAGCAACTGCGTCTGCAGCTGCGGTGTAGACCTTGTTTGGTGTGCGGCGCTGCTTGATCGTCGTCGACCAACCTCCACTGATGCCGCTGCTGCTGCCGCCGCCGCCGCTGCCGCCGCCGCCGCTGCTGCTGCTGCTGGTTGCAGAGCCGCCAGCGCTGAGCCCATTTCCGTTCTGAACGACACCTGAAAAGTCGCGGCCAGATGCAGTTGCCCCTGCACCCATGCCTGGCGGCCGGAGCGCCGTCCCTTGCAACCGTCGACGCCGGCGCTGGCGCCGGCGCCCAGGCAGGTACGTGCCTCCACCGCCGCCAGTCAACACGCCAGTCACAGGATTGTAGCACGCCTGGTCCCAGATCCAGGCATACCCGTACCCCCAATTGAAGTTCCAGTAGCAGGCGCACGGCCCATAAGCCGCAAACGTCGGCACAATCCACGCCCAGTAGACAGAGGGACGGGGATTGTACAAGCTGCTTGCAGGGGCGCCGCTGGCGCCAGGCGGAGCTGGGGGGTCCTCCACGTCTGTGCGGTCAGCAATGTAGATCCGACCATTGGCGAAGGCTGCCTGGCCGGTGGCAATAATTGTTGGAGGCAAGGGTGCAGGCAGGGATTCGCGGATGACGTGTGGCTTGTGCCTGGCAGCTGGTCTCACCAAGCAGAGTTGAGTCGGCGGCGAGACGCTGCTGCACAAGTGGTCGTGTCAAGTTGAAGTGAGTTCACATGTGCATCAGGGCAAGACGCTGCTGTCCAGAAAGCCGCCTGGCCAAGTTTTGTGTGCTGGTCAGGCTGCCTCACATGTCTGCCGCCATGAAAGCTCTTGTCACCTGGTTTTGCGCTTCACGCCCCGCATAGAGAGCCCCACTCACCCCGCCGTTCCAGTAGCCCCGCGGGTTGGCTGCCCCAGCATCAAGTTGGCCAGACTGTGAGGAAGCATCGCCAGCCTGTTCCAGGAGGGTGCCCTCGTTCACGTAGGCGTCGTCCCCACGGTCGACAAACCTTCCCACCAGGTATGGCACAGGGGTGCCCAACCCATTGTGGTCCCAGAGGGTCCCGGTGGCAACGAGGGATGCCAGAACAAACTTGCGGCGTGACAGCTGCTCCCAGTAGAACTTTGAGGGAAGGGATGTGAGTGTTGGAAGGGCGAGCGTGACGTGAGCTTCAACTACGGCGCACTGCTTGGTGAGGAGTGAGTGATTTATTGCCTGGGAGTTCTCATGGGGAGCAAGGCAGCATGGGCCAGCAAAATCGCCATGGCCAGCAAACCTTCACCAGCAACCAGTGCTATCTGTTGCTAGATGCCCTTGCACTCCCCCGACCCTGGCACCCGTTGCTCACGTCCAGCACAAAGAAGGATTCTCCGGCCCGCACATCAGCTGGCGTCTGTGGCACGATGGGCTGCAGCTGATTAAAGGCGGCGCCGCAGTTGCCTCCTGTGGGCAGGGTGTAGGGTGCCTGGTCCTGCAAAGCTGTGCAAAGGTCCTGCCCAGTGTAGACAGGGACCCAGAACTTCTTGCCGGCAAGTGAGGGGTCGTTGCCCTGGGTGGTCGGTGAGTCGGGCCCAGCAATGGGTTCACAGGGGCCTTTCATGTGTGCTCAACAGCAACGCTGCTCAGTACTGCCACACGTGCCCCACATCACCCTTCCACACACACACACCCGTGCCCCAACAGCATCCGTCAGACCCCCGCCCCCTTGCGTCCTGCCGCCGCACACTCTACTCACCCCGTATATTGCCCATTTACCAAAGGCGTACAGCATCGCCCCAGACTGGATCTGGCTGACATCCACCTCCTCCCGGCAGATGGCCACCCAAGTGACAAATACTCCATCACGGTTGTATCCAATCTATCAGGCGTTGGGGCGGTGATGGGAAGGGGTTCAGGGAGGCCATGGAGGATTAAGGCGTGCAGCAGTGCAGTCGATTGCCCAAGGGATCAGCAGTGGCAGCAGCAAGCTGGGCTGGTGGAGCACATGCCAGCCTTAGGACACAGCGTCCCCGCACAAGATACTGTGATACTGACACTGAACCCCTGTCCAATAATGTGGTGGCGCAGCCACATGTCATGTCACAGTCTGCACCCGCTCCCTTCCACCCTCCCCCCCACAACCCAAGTGCTGTACTCACCTGAGTGTAGTCAGGGTAGCCCCTTCGGCCGTTGGCACATTTCCAGCTTGTGCCAGCATTGTCCGCTGGGACACTGTACAAGTTCCAGAAACCGGTGACAGAGTCTGTCGCAGAGACCGCCAGAAGTATCCTCGGGTGTAACCAGTCGTCACAAACAGCAGAGATGACATAGCGCCCCACCCATTTGTCGTACTTGACGTCCATTGCAAAGACGCCCTGGTCGCAGCTGTTTGCGCCGGTGCCGGTCTTGGTGACCTGCGATGGGAGTTCGGCGTGGGCCCCAGCTGCATATCAACAGGGTAGGCGCTGGCATAGTGAACATGAGCAAGCAAGGGGTGCCTCTGGATATGGGTTCGTAAGAAGCCCTGTTCCACGCAGATCGCCTCTTGCCCATCGGCTGCGGGGGCATCCCCCACTCAAGCAGCTACCTGAGAGGATCTCCCAACAAGGGAGCGCCCGCCGTTCGGCGCTCTGCAGGACTCAAGGGCCCGGCTCCTGTCTGCTGTCACACTTGTGTTGTGAAAACCCTGAAACTGGCATGGCTGCTCAACCAGCCCTTCCCCTACCCCCTCTGTGATTGCACAGCTGCTGGAGGCGACTGCATCGACTGCATCTGCAGCACTAAATCAGCCGTGTCACTGTCAATGCCTGACCCAAAGCCCGACCTCTCACCGCGTAAAAGAAGTCGGCCGCCCAGACCTGCTTGAGGAAGCTGCTCGACTCTGGGGAGTCGCTAGTCGATGCTTTTGCCTTCTTCCCGGCCGCGTCTACCCTGTAGAAGCGCATCAGCCCGTTGGCCGTGT